TTTAAAATTATCTAATACCCGGAAAAATCTCAAATCTTTGATAGCCGAAGTCCCGACCTCGGACTTTGTACTGTATAAATATATATATATATATATATATAAAATACGAAATGTATATTTTCAGTTAAACTTCTACCCAATAACTTTAGAATTTCATGAAAGTTAATTTTGATTTTAGTTAATTCAGGAAAATTAGTTTCAATTAGTTGTTTTCAGCTTTAAAAATATTAAAAATTTTTTTTAATTAGTTAGTTGTTTTCAACTAATAATTGTAGCGCCATTAGCAAAAATATGCATTACTATCAACAGCATAGGTTAAACCAAATACTTAATTGTCTATTGAAGCTTCAAAACGTATTTCCGAACTTCAACTTTTTTTCGGCTAGCGTTACCGAATTTGCCCTTGGCGACTCTAAAATCGAAATGGAGCCAACAGATTTCCCGCGAAAATCGATAACAGACCCTCTGCAGAAATAAACTCATAATCCTGATATCCCATACATATATGTGCAAAAGAGAATAAACTCCGTAGAAGGTCATATCAAAAATTAATTTATGGCTTAATTCAAACAAACACAGAAATTAAGCTAAGCAAAACCATGTAAAAACAATTGAAATGATAAAACGAAACTTAATTTTCATGTGAAATTTTCAGCGCTGACTCTCCCATTCTAGAAATTTCAATTTGTTTCAGACAAAGACCACATTTAGCTTTATAAGGATTGTCATCCATCAATATCCAGTCTTTGTAGTCAGCTTGATGAAGCCACAGTTTATTGAAAATGCACTTTCCAGGCATCTCGTTCCTATTGGCGTCGGAAGGGTTGTGGCCTTCCAGGTTGGGAATTGCTTCTAATTTTGGCAAATATTTTCAGAATCCCCCCCCTTTTTTTTTACTCGAGCACCTTCATCATCACTTTCGCCTCTTAAAGAACTTCCGGCTTCACGCTTTCGTCACAATCTGCCTAAATTTATGGATAACACCTGTTTCAAAAGATTGGGTGAATAGCCAATCAGACACCCGATACTTTCGTTCTAGGTAGGTACTATTATTTTTTTTTTTTTTTTTTTTTTTTTTTTTTTTTATCGTTTGCAACGCAAATCCGCCAACAGATTAATTAAGAGCCGTGCAATTTTAATTCCATATTCATGAGAAATTGCAATTCACACATAGAATGGCAATCATTAGAAATGATAAGATATGTCAAATGAGCAAAATTAAGGACCGTTTATTCATTTTAGCCAAAATTAAGGACTTTTAAGGACCAAAAATCGTTTTGAAAAATTAAGGACTTTTAAGGACCGTACGAACCCTGTTTGAAAGAGTTCCAAAAACTTGTCCACTGGGTATAATCTCCATAGAATTTAGAAATAGTTAATTTTGGGAGAAGAATAAATTTATTGCTTTCATTTTTAGAAACTTCAGCAGTTTCGTTTTCATTACAAAACATTCTTAATGAATTCTTTCTGAATTTGTCACTTTATTTAATTCTTTCAATTTTTTTTTTTTTTTTTTCTCTAAATTGCCATAACAGCATTTTCTCTTCGTATTCTACAGAAGATAGGACTTGAGTTTCAAATTCATCCGCTGCTTTTACTTTTAAATCATGCTCAATTTGAGCATCTAAATCACTCATTTGTTTTCAATTTCATGATGAACTGATCCAAGTTTTCTTCTAATGTACTTGTACTAATTTCTTCTTTACTTAATTCAGTCTCAATTTTTTTTAGAATCTTGGACACGGTGGTCCTGATAACTTTTCGTTTAGATTTAAATTTAACAACAGACTCTTCTGCCATTGTTCTACTTTACAAATAAGAAAATTTAGCCTTACTTTTGCTGTCTTCGCACACTTAATGTGCTAAATCCAATTTTTTGACAGGTGATGCAACAGCTGTTTAAAAAATTCAAAGGCTGAGAGAAATCAACATCGAATAGCTTTTAAAAATGTAACGTTTAATATTTACATTATATACAGATTATTGATTAAAGCATTCAGTATTGCATTGATCAACCAAGATCTCTAACTTTCACAACTGAAAAATCAAATCATTTAATAGAACCGAAGGTTTCCTAATCAACTAGTGTGCCCAGTATCTATCTATCGAGCTGCTGGTGGTGAGTCTGGAAAGTCAAAAGGCACATCACATTTAACACGAAACACTAGCGCCATCTATTAAATAATCAAAATAATTTCCACATTCTGCATTTTAAATTCATTATATTCTAAATTTTCTAACACAGTTAAATAATTTACAATGCAATAAAAATTATTCTTTGCCCATAATGCATATTTAAAGCAATTTATACTCCTTTTAACTTTGCAGAATTAGGGGAAGCAGTGTCCAATATTCCCTTTGACCTTTCCTAATTGGGCTCATTCTAGGTTTAAATATAACATGTTACACAACACATGTATGTATTTATAATCAAGATAATTAAATCAAAAATGGCAGCAAACTGGCTAACAGGAACATAAATCAAAATTGAAACAAAAGTAGTACTTAGCTAACCTAATTTAATAGAAGCAAAAACAAAGAAAAATAGTGGCAAATTAAAAAACCTAATTTACAGTGAAACAGGGCTTAAATTCATATGGAAACCAAAATAAATTGTGTTCCATTACTTTAATTTTTAATTAATTATTTATTATTAATTTACTTTTTATTTACATATTTTTTGTGAAATTTCTTTACCGAAACTAAAAATAATAAGAAAATTAATACCTTCTTAAATGCATACAGTGGGCTTTTTCAATATAGGCTTTTATCTACATTTGCTTTCATCCATGTGAGTATTTGTTGTGTGGGCAATTAATTCTCCTAGTGGGGTTATCCCCACCACCACCACCACTATTGGTGGGATTTTGTCCTCTGCACTTTCATCTAGTGTCCTTTCTGTATCTGCATTTTTCTTCTATCTGCTCACCACTGTGATCATATTAACCAAATTGTTGACCACAACAAGTGATGTATTTTTTATGTGCTCATATACAAATGGACTTTGGGAAATAAATAACAATATTTGAAAGATAACATTAACTGTGATCACATTAAGCAGTTTGGATTCATTTATTTTAATTATGGCAAAGCACTCCAGAGCTATTTCCTTTGGAGTACCTTTCTATGGGAAGCAGGTTCATATACGTAGCTTATTCGGAAACTAAGTACCGTTTCATTCTAGCGCCGTCGCAGCGCTGTGGTAGGCGTCCCGCGCATGCGTACTAGTCTTTCTTGTTCACTGACTTTCAATTGTCGCCATTTTGGTTGCTCCATGTTGTGTTTTCAGTTTGCTGTGCACATTCAAAATGTTCAAGACAATTAGTTCTCCCGCTGACTGTGAGATTCGTGCCGCGATTAAATTTTTGAACGCGAGGAATTTATCGTCGAGTGACAGAAGTTTACGGTGAATACGCGATAAGTGATGGAATGGTGAGAAAGTGGGTAAGAATGTTTAATGCAGGTCGAACAAATGTCCCCGCCGAGGGTTCGGAGTGGTCAGCCTTCTGTTGTCACCGATGATTTGGTAAGAAAAGTTGATAAAGCAATTCGTGAGAACAGACGCTTCACAATGACAACTCTTTCAGAAGCATTTCCACAAATTTCACGTACTGTTTTGTTCGAAATTGTGTCTGACCGCTTGAATTATCCCAAACTGTGTTCCCGATGGGTTCCAAAAATGCTCACTGATGTTCACAAAACAAAGCGACTTGGTAGTGCCCTGACATTTCTCACGCGGTACAGTGATGAGGGAGAAAACTTTTTAAACCCAATTGTGACAGGTGATGAAACTTGGGTGTGTCATTTCACACCAGAATCGAAACAACAATCGATGGAGTGGAGATACACTCATTCTCCGAAAAAACAAAAGTTCAAAGTGACAATGTTATCACAAAAAATCATGTGCTCTGTCTTCTGGGATAGGAAAGGCGTTTTGCTTACTGAATTTCTTCCCAGAGGTGAAACCATTAATGCGGCACGATATTGTGAGACTTTAACAAAACTAAGGCGTGCCATTCAAAACAAGGGAAGAGGAATGCTCGGTAAAGGAATTGTGTTGCTCCATGACAATGCTCAGCCTCATACTGCTGGTGTCACTCAATCGTTAATTCAACAGTTTCATTGGGAGCAGATCGATCACCCACCCTACAGCCCAGACTTGGCGCCGTCCGACTATCACTTGTTCCTGCACATGAAGCGCGAGCTTGGTGGCAAGCGCTTTGGATCTGACGATGACACGAAAAATGCTGTGGAGTCGTGGTTATCGAAACTGGCGGGAAGTTTTTTTGACGATGGTATACAAAAACGGTCACCCGCTATGACAAGTGTTTGATCATTGGCAGGAAACTATGTTGAAAAATAGTTTAAGAAAAATAGTTTAATGTATTTTCATGTAAAAATAAAATTTGGATTGGAAAAATAAATTGTTTTACTATTTTTTTTTTTTTTTTCAAAACGGTACTTAGTTTTCGAATACGCCTCGTACACATTACACATGGGGAAAACTATGAGAACCTCTATGTAGCCAGCCCGTTCGCCGAGATTTGAACTCTGGACCAATGGGAAAAACTATGAAAAACCTCTATGTAGCCAGCCCATTCGCCGAGATTTGAACTCTGGACCAAACTACTAGTGTTCAGTGACTTTATCACTGGTTGGCCACATTAAGCAAAATCTACAGTGCAATATATTACCTGTACTTAAATTATATCATGTAAGAAACTAGACAAAGTATTAAACCAAAGATCACTGTAAAATGCATTAGTCATCAAAACTATTTCAATAAGTCTTTTCGAGTCTTCATACATTTGATATTTTTACAAAACTAATAATCTCAAACACTAATTAAAATGCAGTGTTAACCTTACTATTTAAATAAAGATTTTCATAAAACTCCAAACCATAAATTTAGTTTATAAAAATGTATATTTTCTCCCCTTTTTGTTACCCATGTAAATAATAAACTTAAAATGTCTATTCTAATAGGATTAAAGAAAAAACAACATTGTTGATATTTAATGTTTATGTTACAAATACTGTTTATTGCCAGGTGCAAATCGGGAATTAAGGTACTTTGCTTTGTCTATAACAGAGTCCACTTGTTTCTTGCTGAAATGACGAACTGCAATCTCATCTCTGTCAAAAGCTTTCCTTTCCTTTTTTTCAGATGATTTCTTCTAAAATAGAAAAATTACAGTAATAAAAATAATCGTAAAAGAATATCTCATTATTGAATATTTGATACAACATGGCAAATTCTAAACTGACTTAACAAGCAGACAAAAGTACTTTTATATTTATAAATCAATGCAAAATAAGTAAAAAACTACATGCACAGGTGCTACTATTGAAATATGAAAAAAATTGGATGTTTTCATTCAAAAACCAAGAGTTTCCAGGAAGTTTTCAAACTGTGCAGTAACACTATTTCAAAAGAATAACCTGACTTAAACTCACTTTATAATGCATTAAGTTACAGAACTATTTATAATATGATTCTGATATAAAATATAATATATGTAATTATGAATTCTGATGTATATAATATAATTATGTATTCTAAATTTTATGCTTTCTGGTTCATCTCATTTGTAATTTTCTTTTACACTTTTATACTGATAAAATCCCGTACCCAGATAGATTCAGGAAGAATTCAGAGTAGAGAAGGACTTTTATTTATCAAAGTACTTTTAAATTCAATAAAATGTAATTCACTGAGTGAAATTAATGAAAATGCTACGTAGATCAGTGGTTTCAGTCTGTGCACTTCCCAGTATCTTCTGATCCCTCTATGAAAATAAAAATGAACACTGAATGAAATTAAAGGATAAAAAACAAAAAGTAAAATCAAAATTAAAAAAAAATTAAAAATTCTGAAAGTGAAAGTTCACCACGTTGAATTTTGCATCTCATTTACCAGATGATGCTTAGCCATTCATTGGAACTGCATATTCAAGAAACTTCTTACCCATTTTTAATCCTTTTAGAATTCTTGGGATCTGACTAAGACTTCCCAAATCTTGACCCTTATAAATACAGATGGCTAGCTGATTTACAATTACTTCAAAGTGATTTCTTTAATAATTTCTTCAATAACATTGTGATTTCTCTCATAAGTTCAGAGATCACTGAGTTCTCTGTTAGGCTTAGTTGTGTAGCTAGTAAATGTTCATTAATAAAGATAATAATAAAAACATAAACTATCTAAAATTGTGACCTCTTAAAAGCAGACTCTGTATACTAATGTCTGAAGAGTACAGAAAATCACCATGAGTTCCTCTTGCTGTACATTGAAGTAAGATGGTTATCTGAAGGAAAACATTGACCTCTTTCATGAAACCACATGCATAAGAAGTAGCATTTTTAATTAACCATAAAGTTGTATTGGCTATGGAATAAAATGATGAAGGTCCAGTATGTAAAATGGTTTATTAGCTGAAATGAATCTGCAAAGAATTTTCTCCTTCCTTACTGTATTCCTTTGTAGTGTAACTGGAAACACGTCCTCTAGCAACAGAGAGAGGTCTGGAGTTCGAACCCCAGAGACAGTACTACTGGCATTTCCTTCTACAAAATAAACCTAACAGATTCTACAAATGGTGACCAAACTAAAATGTGGTGGACAATAATTCATCATCACGATGAATTGACGACTGGGTCTTCTCCACCAAGCTGCCTTTAAGTGGCAGAGAATGCGAAGAATTGTTTCCTTCCTTATCGCATTCAATGACAATGTAATTGGAAGCACATCCGGCTGGCAGTGGGCAGATTTAGAGTCCTGACAAACCCCATTCTTGCTCTGAAATAAGACTTAATAGACTCCACAAATCTACCATTAATATGGAAAAATGCAAAATTGTTTATGAAAACATCAAAGAATCTTTTTTTAAAAGGAAACTGAGGTAATGATTGAAGGGTGTGGTAAAGGAAGATAGTAACTGCATCTTTCTTAAAGAAACTTCTTGAAAGAAAATAACATTAAAATTCTACAAAAAATACAGAAAAATATTTAAATGCATCCTGAAGCTTTGAAAGACTCATCTGAGTCTGGTTTTCCAACAGCTCAAGAGAAGGGGTTTGAATGGGTACAGAATATATTCAGCATGAACAAAAAACTATCCAGTTCAAAATTGTTCTTTTAGCATGTGTAGGAAAGACATGGAAATGCTTCTAATTCTAATCTGTAGGACTGTATGACTAGCTGGACAAAACTTCGCATGTAGGTTCATTTTTTAAGATTAAAAAAAAAAAAATTTTTTTTGCAGACTTTGCTTATTTTCCAAGTCTCAGTAATGTAAACGATATATATGCCAAATTTCAAGAAGACTGGATAATATTTAGAGATTGCACACTTTGATCAGTTTTGCAAAAGTATGTAAAAATATGATTTTTCAATGTTAATTATTTTCATTGAGAAGACTAGAAATAAAAATAATTAAATAATATTAAAACTAGAAGCTAAGATTAATAGGTAATATGATAGGCAAAACATGTGTTACATAAATCAACTTTGAATGATGCATATTTTGCTCACTTGGAGAAAACTTTTCTGAGATGCTCGACTACCCTCAACAAGAACTTTTTTTTTTTTTTGGTTCATCCCTGACCGATTTGTTAAAGCTTTTTATCAGAGCAATTACTCTTCCTGCGATATCATTGAGCACAATAACAGCATTTATGTGGCTACTTAGAGAATCACTGCAGTATTCGGTCACATCGTGGTTTCCAAACAATTCAAAGAACATCTTTGTTTTATTAGTAGCAAAATGGTTCAAGTCTTGACCTCCCAAAACATGGTTTTACCTTATGATCATCATTTCCTTTCTCTCTCTCTCTCTCTCTTTTTTTTTTATGTCTGGTTTCTAAATTTTTGGTTATATTTCCTTTATCAGCCTGAGTAATACATTCATCCAAGAAAAATAATCCTACATTTGTGTCTGACAGATACCAAAGATGTCTCTTCACAACTGTGAGAGCACTTTTTTTTACCTCTGCATCTGTGTGTTCAGAAGCTTTAGTATATCCAAATTATTCTTTAATCAAATCTCTTTTACAACTGCCTCATGCCAAAACTGAACACACACATAGACTTCAACCTGCAGCAGAACTTGTCAGTAGTCAACGCGCGAACGACATTTTCACAACTTTGAAATGCACGTGTAACGCATGTTGTAATTAACCATTCATTAATTTTAAATTAATAATTGTAATCAATTTTGTTACATTTAAAATCCACATGCATATAAAACTGAATAATTAAAAATTATATGTACTTGTAAAGTATATGCACATTTAATTAGAAATTTTCATTTAACTCCTCACACACGTATATCACTAAATCTACTATTATATGAAAAAAGAAAGTATTTTAAATCACTACTAATCAGAAAAAAATCAGAATGCATAAATCATATATCTTTTTTCTGGATTTGCTTTCTGCAGGGAAATAAAATTTAAATAACCAAGAGTAATACATATTAGTATTAAAAAAATACTTACAATTTACAAATGCGAAGATTTATATGTAGCATGCTTAGCAAGCTTAAGTTCTGATTTTGAGAATTTTTTTTTTTTTATATATAACACAGTTCTTCATTTGCCTGCATACTTATTTTTTCAATCAAAACTGCTTCGAGAGTTTTAAGACCTAAATTTGGTCGAAATTCAGTCTGATTTTTTTTAACAATAGAAAAAATTCTTTCGCAAGCAGCATTTGAATGAGGTATTATTAAGAAAGCAAGCATTACAGTAGGCAATACTTTGTATTTAATACACCCATTTATATTTTTTAATTTGGCAATTTCTCCGCATGCTATATCAATACGCAAATCTACAATTTCTTTCAAATCATCTACTTGATACATGGAAAATACAATTTCCACTTGATTAAGATATTTTTCATCAATAATGGATGGAAAAGTATTTATCAAGTAAAGAACAGATGAAAATGAAACTTCAGTCCTCAAGTTGATGTCAGCAACTTCAGCATGTTTTAGAAATGGATCACTTAGTGGAAAGTTATCTATTATATATGAACATGCAGTTACAAAAAAAGCTCACACAGAATTGAAAAATGATTTTACTTCACTTTCATTCAACTTGGCATTTCTAAAATATAGTCTTGTTTCCACACCAATCACTAAATTTTCATTTTCTTTTTGATTATTCAAATACTTTTGAAATTAAAGAGATGTAGAGTAAAATCTTCATTTTCTTTAGAAATTACTGATGGTTTTACGAATCTAACAAATAAATTCGTTAAAAGTTCAACAAGTTCTCTTCTCAACTTATGTATATAAGGAGCTTGTTGTTGCAAATTAATATTTACTGTTATAAACAAAGTATTTTTCAAAAATAACAAGTACAATTTGGTGGTAGGTGATTGTAACATTCTTTTAATGTTCTGCAATCTCTTTCCTTCATTCTCACTGTTATCTGGTTGATCTCCAAAAAATTTATCACAGCATCCCACTGTTCCAAAATCCTTGTTATAGATTCTAAAAGAGACAACCAACTCGTACTGCAATATTTCAAAATTTTATGAGATTCTACATTCTGTCCCAAAATTTGTTGAGCAACTTTGAAGCTATGGCTTCCGTTTCGAACTTTTCTCCAAATAAAAATATATATCTACAATACACTCCCGATTATCTGCGGAACTGGGTTGTGCGGCCGCCGCGGATAATCCGAAAAAAGCTAAAAACGGGTAAAGAAAAAACAGTCATTCCAACTTTGAAAAATCGTTTTAAAAAAATAAAACGTAAAATAAACAGCAGAAAATGTTTAACTAATGCTTAATATCTCAGTATATCACTCAAAACTAACCTAAAATGCATTTTGTTAATGAAAACAGAAAAGTGCTTTGTATACTTATGAGAGGTGTCAAAGATACACAGAAAACTTAATACATATGTACTGTTTTAATACTGTAATGTATTATGTAATTACAAAAGCATAACTGTAAAACATTTTGAAGAAATCAGTCATTTGTGTTTGCTTCTTGCTTTGGAGGCATTTTCTCTTGATCCGAGATTGCATTTTTCATAGCATAATTTTCTCGGCCAACTCCGCGTCGTCTTGTTCTTCCCAAATAGCTCAGTAGTCCGTCGACTTGTTGTGCAAAGCCGCTTCGTGAGTCTTCCGCATCTGCACAGTGGGCGCTTTCTTCGCCTTCACT